AGAGCGATGAGAGAAAAAAAAAATATATAGTTGGACAAACCAATCACTCTTTGTTCAATGCGAGTGCTTTATGCTGGAATAACTGTCATTTATGCCGTCATCACGTGTTGATAGTGCAGGTGAGACCTGAACAGCACACGTTGCTATCTGTGTTTAAACTAAACTCATTTAAGCCTTGCCAGGTTAAATATTAAAGAGCCAGAAGACGTGAACCAGTGTTGCCAACTTAGCAATTTTGTTGCTAAATTTAGCAACTTTTCACACTACACTAGCAACTTTTTCTACTGAACGTACAGTATCAGTGCACTGGATCAGTGCGTTCTATAAAAGTGACAGCACTTTCTTAAAGTTAATCAAACAGCAACAACACGGAAATCTCTCACTGCTCTTGATTGAATAACTTCTATAGCTTTAATAAGACATTTTTCTTATTTGAAGGCTGCTTTTAAATGCTCTAGTGTGGAGATAAACATGGTGGATTGTGTGTGGCTCACTGCTAATACGGTAGTGTCCGTGAACAGCCGTGGACGGGGCCTGTAAAATGTGACATCACATTTTACGGATTCTGCAAACAGAGACACTGCTTATAATTTATGGGGATTGAAAAAAAGGAGCGGGTGGATTTTTATCATTATAGGGTGGTTGTGTACTGTACACACACTGCCAACACACATGAAACCGTGACTCTAAAACTGTGATACAAACCGAACCATGAGTAAGTTGAACCGTTGCACCCCTAGTATATATATATAAGTTTGTTCAAATACAAACAAAATAAGTTTAAGTAAAAATGCTAAAATTACTAAAACTAAAACTGAAATAAAAATTAAGCAAAAACAAATTATTATTATTATTATTATTTTAAAAACTGCCTTGGCAATTAAATGGAATAACTAACTTAAGTAACTATCTTAAAGTTTATTTGAAATACTGCAATAAAAATAAATTAAAGCCAAAATAAATATTCTTAAATATTATAATATTATTAAAAAACTAATAAAAATGACAAAAATAAATTGAAGCAATAATTATTTTTTAATTTTAGTTGTTTTTAACTGCCTTGGCTGAAATAACTAACTGAACTGACTTAAGTTGAATAAAAATAAATAAATTAATAAAAAATAATAAATTAAATAATAAATTAAAGCCCAAATAAATATTATATTATTTTGCAACAAAAATAATAATTAAAAAATAATTTAAAAGGAGAAAATAAAATGACTGAAATTAATGCAACCTGAAAATATAAAAATAAAAGCTAATTAAAAT